CAGAATTTATACTGAGTAAAAGAACAATTTTTCTTAATTGATTTATAAGCCGTAGAGCCCTTGCCAACTTCATTTGATAAGTTTTACATAGAATTTTTATCATAATCTTTACGGAATTACCTGCTACTTCAATAAGCATCACCTCTTCGAAAGTTTTTTTTTTTTTTTTTTTTTTTTAGGATTATTTTTTTTTTTTTTGCAGGATTAAGCATCTACTTTAGTAAGTATCATCTTCTCAAACAACCGATCAACACCTATCCAAAACTCTTTTCGGTCAACGAACTTATAAAAAAACGCAAGGTGTTCAAATGAACCTACCAAATCCTTTTCTAACCTAACTTCATCACTAATCTTGCAAAAAAAAAACACTTCTTCTGAAAAAATCCTTTTTTTTTTTTTTTTTTTTTAACTTTAAAATTCTTTTTTTTTTTTTTTTTGTAACTTTATCCAGAACGAGAAGGTGAATGGCTGATGGATTCTTTCCACGGCAGCGACGGTAACCCACTAATGCCGCCCAGTTGCCAGAAAAAACTCATTTGTTGTCCTACTTCTGACGATATAAGGTTGTATTTGGTCTAATAGTAGAGGGCGTACCTATAGATGATGAATGTTGCCAAAAATCGGATGGATGCTGTTCGGAATGGAGTTGTATTTGCAGAAAGGAGCAAAGCAGGAAGGAGGAGGAATCTTCAACAAATTTCTGAGTTGATTTTTGACCCGGATTCGATTCCTCTTTTGTCGCGGTGAATAGGATGCTCGAAGAAGACAATACGTGAGTTCCTGCGTGTCGTGAGAGGGTAAAAAAGAGAAAGCCAGAGCAGTTCGCGGAACGTTTCTAAAAATGGCGCTCACTTTTGGCTTTTACGTTTTTTGTCAAAACACCGGTATTAAGAACGAAATAAGAAAAAGCGTGGTTCTCAAACAATTATTTTTTTTTTTTTTTGCTTTGACGTTGGCAGACGGAATAAGCACAAAAACAGGGGCAAACAAACGAGGCCTTACTGGTCGGTAAAACGCTGATTTCAGCTTGGCCTTGACCAAATCATTAGTGTCATTTTAATTCTAATATGCTATGAATAAGCTGGCCGTAGTCTGATTAATCTGAGGAAAAAATTAAGAATAATATTAAATGTTATACTCTGTAAGCAATAATAAACTGAATATTCATTTAAAGTAGATTTATTTATGTTTGTTGATGTAATAGTTAAATAAGTTTTAACAAATTTAAAAAAAGCTGGGCAGATAAATAAATTAAATTAAATATTTGTTTGTTTGTACATTAATGTTTGTGAATGTTCTATTTATTGTTCAGTAAATGCTAAAAGGGGATAAAATATTTATTTAATGATGATTGAATTTTTAATAATGATTTTTTTATGCACTTTAAAATTTATTGATTACTATTAAAGTAAAATGATAATGAAAATATTGTGTAAATGATTAGATTGGTAGATTTAAATTTTAATTTAATTTTTCATTAGCATTTAATAATGAGAATATTCAAAAATATTTGATGGATAGATAAAAAAATCTTACTTTATTTTTTAATTAAAATTTGTTATGAAAATATTGAATTGAAACTATATACGAAATGAGTATATGTCTATACTATTGTATAAGTATAGCTTTGGATTCTTCTCATATAGGATCTTAGCTTTTCGTTTTATTTATTAAAGATGAATTATAACCATTCATTTTATTTACACATTTAATTTATCTTTAACTTTATTTATTTAATTAAATGCATGACGTTTTAATTGCATTTAAATAAGAGCTAATTGCTAGAATGCCAAAAATTTTGATTGCATTTATTTATCTCCCTTTTTCCCCATTTTGCCTAGCTCATTGGGTTCATCCATGGAGAAATGCCCTCGATCACTTATCACACTCACCAAAATCTACCCTACCTCGGTCGCTTGCTCGTTCGGGTCATCTAGAGAAGCCGCGATCTCCGCCCTCGTCGAATTTTGCCCTAGCCTCGACGAACAACCTTAACGTAGCTGATTTTTGCTCGGCCACCTTAGCCGAAGGTGATCTTCGTGCATCTCCTTAGATTTTTTTTTTTTTTTTTTTTAATTTCATATAGTTTTTCTTAGAGTCTATTCTAGGTACGGTGATGTTTGACCATACAAATACGATTAGAACCTGACCCTCTTTTATGTCAACATGCTTATGTTGATATTCTACATATATATAATCGAGTCTTATACATTTGATCTTCATCACCATGCCTTTCCTGATATTTGATCTTTGTGTTGAATCATCTCTACCATAACTATAAGAACTTTTGCTCAATATTGTCAAAATTATTATATTCTTCACATGGATTAGCTTGTTTGAATAAACACAAATCAAATAAGACGTTCAAGCACATTTGACTTGAAATAAATGAATGTGAACTACTTTGAGGAAAGCTCCTCATTTGAATCTTGATGTTTGATGCCTTGATGCACTTTAAGCAAAAGGGTTTAATAGAGGCGGACTCTTGATAATTTTCTGTTCATTTTGTTAGATTAATGATTATATAGAATTCTAAAGTATTTAATGAGAGTAGGCTATATGTTATTGGCTATTCTAAGCTTGGGATCAAGGATTGGTTGAGGACTATAATGGGAGAAGATGCAATGCAAGATATTAGATATTTATAACCTCATCAAAAATACAAGATAATTATAAGGGTTTCAAGACAGCAAGAAAGGGCTATAAGGGTGCAAAAGATGACCAAATCAATTCTAAGGAAAAGACCATTCACCTAATCCTCAAAGAATGTAAACACAAGCCCATATGATTTTATTACTTCATAATATAATACTCTTACTTGACCATTTCTTATATGAGGAAAATTTAACTAAAGGATATGAGTGGTGGCCCAAATATGGATATGTAAGTATTTGAACCAATTGCATTGCATTACAACAATTCATGAAAAGGATGAATGTTCAAAATATAAAAGTGAAGTGGAGGGAAATTGATCTAAATTAATACTCGATCAAATGCAATATTACAAAATCAATCATGTTTGATTTAGAAAAAAGAGTTATCATTATTCCATAATGTATTTCCTACCTTGATGTATTTACCACACCTTTAAGTATATATGTGAAAGGTAGAGTAGCTCCAGTGGAAGATAAGATTAGAGAGAGTCTCGTTAGATGGTTTGGTCACATAAAATGGCAGCCTTATGATGGCCATTTAGGAAAGTAGATGTATTAGATTTGACTTATGTTAAGAAAGGTAGAGGTAGACCTAAAAAAGACTTAGTTAGAAAATATTAGAAATGACCTTTTTTGTTAGATTTAAATGAGAATTTAACTCTTAACAAGACATAATGGATAAAAAGCATTCACGCAGCTGACCTCACATAGTGGGATAAAGGCTCAATGTTATTGTTGTTGGTGGTGATGAGGCTATCTCCACTCTCCACAAAATTCATTTTCTTCATGTTTAGGCTTGATCTCCACTCTTTAATCCACCAAGGCTAGGATTCACTCCTAGCATATCTTCATTAAACCATACAATTAATTGATGAGCTTTCATCAACAAATTGGGTGAATGACTCTTCATGGAATTTTCTAGCTCATTGTGTTCAAACATAAGGTGGTTTGACCAAGTATTTTCCTATTTCGGTTGGATTACATCAAGGATCGGCCTTAAGCCCATATCTTTTTGCTTTCGTCATGGATGTTCTCACTAGACATTTGCAAGAGCATGTACCTAGCTTGGTGTATGCTTTTTGCTAAAGATATTCTTCTTGTTGATAAGACTAGAGAGGAGTTGAAGGTAAAATTGAATTATGGAGGTCAACCTTTGAGTCTAAAGGTTTTCGCTTGAGTAGATCTAAAATTAAATATATGGAGTATAGTTTTAGTAGCAATAGACTTAATGAGGGGATTGCGACTTTGGGCAATCAAGTCATTAATAAGAGTACACGTTTTAGATATCTTTGATCTATTGTTTAGAGTTATGGTGAAATAGATGGGAATATTATCAGTATAAGTAAAGTTGGATGGTAGAAATGGAGGAATGCATCGGGTTTGTCGTGCGATAGAAAATTCCCCCTTAAACTTAAGGGAAAATTCTATAAGATGGTGGTGAGACCTGCAATACTTTTTGGTGCCAAATGTTGGCCATTAAAAGAGAAGCATACTAAGTTAAGTATTGTAGATATGAGGATGCTTAGGTGGATGAGTTTCCTTACCCTTAGGGATAGGATACGAAATGAGCATATACGTGAAAAGGTTGGAGGAGCTACAATGGAAGATAAGATTAGAGAGAGTCAACTTAGATGGTTTGGTCACATTAAACGGAGGCCTTCTGGTGACCCGGTTAAAAAGTTGAGGTATTAAATTTCACTTATGTTAAGAAAAGTAGAGGTTGACCTTAAAAGACTTAGCTAGAAAATATTAGAAATGGACTTTCTTTATTAGATTTAAATTAGAATTTGACTTTTAACATGACACAACGACAAAAAAGAATTCATGTAGCCGACCCCACGTAGTGGGACAAAGGCTTGAAGTTGTTGTTGTTGTCGTCATATAATCATGATTAGCAAATCAACCATGGCATCATTATAATAATCCACCTTTCATAATAAATTTGGGGAAGGTTATTCTTCACCCCAGCATAATGACATATCATCTTTATCGCTGCAACATAATTTTGCTAAGTTTCTATAGATCTTATAAGGAATTCTCTAGCGTTTTAACAAGTTCTCATTGATTTTTTATTAAAATTTTAATGAAATTTTCTTCAAGGAATGCTCTCTAAAAGTAGGATCAAACAAGAAAATAAAAACCTACAAATGATGAATATCTATCAATTAATTATTTATATGAATCAAGAAATAAAATAGTCATTTAAATACCTAATGATGCAAATAATGACACTAATTAAAAAGATCAATATAACATAACAAACAAAAAAACTAGTTCATTAATGCACAAGATAGATTGATGATAATGATACATTGAAGACATAAATCAGACCATCAGTTTTACATTGACGAGAGGCAATTAAAATCCTCACTTTCCAGGAACGAAGTTGGTGGCATAGGCCCAAGCATTATTGTTCACCGGGTCAGCGAGGTGGTCGGCCAGGTTCTCCAGAGGTCCCTTGCCGGTCACAATGGCCTGCACGAAAAATCCAAACATAGAGAACATTGCCAGCCTTCCGTTCTTAAGCTCCTTCACCTTCAGCTCAGCAAAGGCTTCTGGATCATCAGCCAAACCCAGCGGGTCAAAGCTATTGCCAGGGTATAGCGGGTCAGTTATCTCGCCCAGAGGCCCGCCCGCAATGCGATACCCCTCAACAGCGCCCATGAGGACAACCTGAACAGCCCATATAGCCAGGATGCTCTGAGCGTGGATCAAGTTCGGGTTGCCCAAATAATCGAGCCCACCCTCGCTGAAGATCTGGGACCCGGCCTTGAACCACACCGCCTCGCCGAACTTGACGCCGTTGCGAGCCAAGAGCTCCGGGAACACGCAGCCCAGTGCGCCCAGCATGGCCCACCGTGAGTGGATTACCTCCAGCTCCCGGTTCTTAGCGAAGGTCTCCGGGTCGGCCGACAAGCCGGCAGTGTCCCAGCCGTAATCGCCGGGGAACTCGCCGGTTAGGTAGGAAGGTGGCTCGCCAGAGAATGGGCCCAAGTACTTGACGCGGTCTGGGCCGTACCACGGGCTGCTAGATGAGGGGCGGAGCTT